AAAAAAAAAAAATTCTCGATAATCGAACGTCCATCAATTCCCAACATCAACGTCAATCGTTTAAACCATCCCGAACAAATCCGCGATACATCTCTCTCTCGAAACGATTCGCATAAAACCCTATCGTTTCCCTGCAAACCTGCGCGTTCCTCCGCAAATTGTAGAGGGGAAAAAAAATTAAAGAAGGGCGGGACGAGAGAGAAAGAGAGAGAGAAGAAGAAGAAGAGAGAGGAAGCTCACAGAAAGAAATCTTAATTAACGAAGCCATTGTTTCAGCCGTGGAAACTCGACGAGAGGCGACAGCCACGAGGACCAGAGCGTGGCTTGCTGGTTGACGCGGAGGGGGGAGGGGGTCGTTTCCACGGTGGCTAGGGTGGAGCAGGGAAAAAAAGGGCCGATTTTTTTCAAGGACGACCGGCACACCGGCCACACCGACCACCGACGGTGGCGTTCACGAGGGCACACAAAGCTCTTGACGGATGGGTAGCCACCAGGCGGTGCCGTAACCCTCACGGTTACGAGTGACCACCTGTTGAGGGTCCTGCACGCACCTGTCTACGCACACACGACTCATCCCGGCACAGCACACGGCCTTCCCTCACAGGCCCGTGAGCGTGGATGATATTTCCATCCGTGATGACCGAAGAAACGGCCCGGAATAACGAGTGGCGTGCTCGCGTTGTGTCCACGATGCGTGAAGTCGTACGGAAAGAGAGAGAGAGAGATAGACAGACAGACAGTTCCACCGCTGCCAACACCGCTGTCTATGATAATTGCCTCACCGATTGACGGAATCCTCCTGGTTAATTGTTCGATGAAGAGGGCGATTGAAGTGGACGTTCGGTTTTGTACGGATTGAAGGGTGTCGAGGTCCTTGACTCTCGTAAACGCATTAATGAGAAAATTAAATCCGCGTTCGTGTAAGGATCGATGAGTGCAGGGGTTGAAAGGTGTCTTCGATTTAACGGAATGCTTGTTGCAATGGAAAGTAATATTTAAGTACTTTACGATTTCGATTGAAAGTTAATTAATTATGAGTTTCTCTTTGTATTTTATTGTATGGAAAGATAATAGAAAATATTTTTGTTTAGTTGATAATTTAACGTTTGCTTAGATGCAGCAAATACGTTTGATAAAAGATTACGATTGACTACTCTTCGTTTTGGCATCTGCTGTCACAATATAAATGCCATAATAAATTACTATATTTATACTTCCTACTTTTGGTTTTTTATATTCATCCCAGTATAAGCAGAATGAAATCTTATCAGTCTTATGATTACACCATGTCAGTTTGTCGTTTAGAAGAAGACACCTGAATCTTAATTGTTTTTATAGACTCAACACAATCATAAAAACAGGTACACATTGTGCATGGATAATATACTACAACACATGACTGACTTGACATGAAAGAACCTTCTCTTTTCAGTTTCGCCAACAATGTAATGTTTTTTATAACATTACCGAAACAACAAAGGAATGGGTCCAGATAGAAACGACCAGTCAATGCTTTCCTACCTTCGACGGAGACTGTCATTTTTACTGATCGAGCGCTCGTCAATCCAGAGATTAAGAGCGGTTTTTTTTTTATTCCCCTTTTCCATCCCTTGCTCGATCCCCGCGGCCAGAGGACTACAGAAACGTAGGACGGCGGGAACGCTTTATTTCCACCCCCGTCGCGATCGTTCCATTTGTTTCGCAGCCGGCATCGCATGGCTCGCGGCGACGAGCTTTCTCTCTTACCTCCTCTGTTTCCCATCCTCGCGCGTACCGCTCGTCAGTTGACGCGCGTTCTCTGGCTCGCCCCCATGGCAGATTCGACCGCTGGACGAATCGACCCGCCGTTATCTCGACATATCCACAGGTACGTTTAATACGTCCAGGCGACGTATTTATTCACCGAGCCTCTCTTCCACTTTGATGAATGACGCGACGTCGCGCGCCGCTTCCAACCGCTCCGAGCATATTTGCGACCGATTTCACCGGTGGAGCCAACACGAAAATCGGCGAACTGCGCACCCTTCGAATCTTTTTTTCCACCGACAAAATGGAGTGATATCTTCTTTCTGGTTCACGACGAAGATAGTTGTTCGAAACATTTGCATTATAAAATGATTGAAATAAGATTGCCGGTGCAAGTTTAGATTTCTTCACGTGTTGATTGTAAAGGCTTCGATTTCTTTAAATTTCATAAAATTTTAAAATTTAAGTGGAAGACACGTCGATGAAAAAAGAAAAAGGAAAATTGAGCAAATCATTGAAATTCCCTATTTAAGGAATAGAATACAATGAATTGCAAATAAATTACAAATTGCATTAAAGCAACGTTGATCTTTAATGATTCAAGAGCGATGATAAACTCAAGAACAGATTTGAACGGTTTTGACAGGAGCCAATGCGATTTCAAGACGTGCCCACGTTGCGAACGAACGTAATGTTCAATCTTACGCGACGACAAGACGGTTGAGACTGATGACGAACGATTGTCAAGGAGAAGGTGAAACGTGAATAGAGGGTTGGAAATAGCATCTCGAGGGTTATCTCGGAATCCTAATGCGTAATGGGTGAGACGATCTTGGATTACTAATAAGCATCGGTCTCGTCAAATATTTCCACAGGCTGCGAACTTCCGCGCCTGTTATTTCGTCTTAATGGCAAATCAAACTTTGGTCAAAGTTGCTAAAAATAAAAATCTAACAAGTAACAATATCGCTTGCTAGGAAAACCGTCCCACTGGATTTCCAATCGTTATTAAACTTACATTCGTGTCCATTAAAAATTTCATTAATTCTCTGTTATTAAATTTAAATCTATATTCACAAGGACCATTCAAGCGAACAATTACCCTTGTTCATTTAAACAATCAATCACTTTCCAATTGTGATTGAATCTTGCAATTAATCCAGTCACGATCCGTCGAAACGGTCAAAGCGGTATAAAAGCGGCAGGAGTTGGGAGCAGACTGTCAGCAACGTATACGGTAGACTGCATCGAAAGGCAATCGACGAAGGAAGTGGCACGAGTGGGCCACCGTGGTCGACCAGTGCCGTGTTTTTTCAACTTCGTCCTTCTCTGACGGTGGAAGAGATCGCCGTTTAAGTGGTGGCTCGCTAATGATAGTCCAACCCTTCAAGGACTCAACTGGCTGGCCTCTCGAAGTCAGCCTGCATCTGATGGTAACTTCAATCCGTTAATTGGTGTACAACTTTTTTGCCCGTGCCTCTTCTCCTCCTCTTGCTTTCTCAGTCCTACCCTCAGCGGTCGCATCGCTCGTTACCTCCCTTTCGCTCGTTCTCCACCCCTTTTACTTCCCCCCCCCTTTTTTCTGTGTTTCTCCTCTGTTCTTTTTCTCTTTT